CTTTTTTAACAAAGCTGTTAAATCTTTTTCTAACTTTATTCAAAAAGTATAGAACATTTAGTAATATGTTTAATAAAAAAAGACAGATAAGTTATTTGAAAATTGACTATATAACTGTTCTATTGGGTTGTTATCTAAAATATAATCTTTTCAGAGTCCTATTTATAAGCTATCAAAGCAAGAACTTGAAACATTAAGAGGATATATTGAGAACAACTTAGAAAGAGTGTTTATTTAATACTCAAAGTTATTAGCAAAGGCTCTTATACTTTTATAAAGAAGAAAAATAGTATATTGCACATATGTATAGATGTTTAAAATTTGAATCAAGATAAAGTCAAAAATTAATACTTATTTTTTTTAATATCTGAACTTTTTGATTAACTTGCTATTACAAGAATTTTTACTAAAATTAATCTAAGAGATGCATACAATCTAGTCTGTATTTAGCTAAAAAATTAATAAAACCTGCTTTTTGAACATAGTATAAGCACATTAAGTACCTAGTAATACCCTTTAAACTCATTAATGCCTTAGCTTTATTCTAATATTTTATAAATAACATATTTAGAAACTTTTTAAATTAGTTCATAATTATTTATCTAAATAATTTTTTAATATATTTACCTAATCAAAAAGAACACAATTAATACATATAGTTAGTACTAGAATGCTTGTTAAAATAGGTTGTTTGCAAAATTAAAACATTGTAAATTTAATAACAAAACTGTGAATTTTTTAAATTATTATATCACTTCTCAAAAAATCCAAATAAAGTCCAAAAAAGTCAAAAGTGTTTTTTTTTAACTTATCTCAACCTTAGTCAAGAAGATTTTTGAGTTTGCTAACTATTATTAGCATTTTATCAAAAACTATGTTTTTTTGGTTACCTTTTTAACTAATCTAATCCAAAAATAAACACAAAAGCAAAAGGTTTTAAGTAGGTTCTAGTAGCTCAACAGACTTTCATTTTTTTAAAAACTGCTTTTACCTCTGTTCTAATATTAATTCAAGCAGACTTAACAAACCTATATTTTCTCAAAACTAATATTTTAGATTATGCTCTTGCAAAAAGTTCTATTTTACTCTCATAAATGAAGCCTTCATCTTGTTACCTATTATTTACAAAAACTTACATTAACAAAAATTAATTATAATATCCAAAACAAAAAATTATTTATAATAATAACAGTTCTTAAACAGTGACACTATTCTTTTAAAAGGGCTAATATAAAATTATTATTTACTAAAATTACAAAAATCTACAATCTTTACTACTACAAAAAATCTTAGTTAATATCAAGTTAGATAGTTTCTTCTTCTTTCTAGTTATGATTTCAAGATTATGTTCTAGTCATATAAAGAGCAAAAAAAAATCTGATGCTTTATCAAGATAATTAGAGTATTAGTCCTAAGACAATAAAGAAGCAGTAACTTAGCAATATACTATATTGTTAAAAGTCTAAAACTTAAATATATATGTGACTTATATAACTCTTTTAACATTTTTATAAAAAACCAAGTTCATAATCATCTAAGAAAAAACTTTTTGACTTTAAATATAATTGATTAATTAGAACACTCAAATGCAAACTATTTGAATAAATGCTTAGACTATTGCAAGTTTCAATATACTGATAAGTTGTTGTTTAGAAAGGCTTGTTATATATAACAAATATAATAAAGCAGTTAAAAATATTATAAACAAAACATAATTTGAAGTTAACAAGCTACTTTGAAGTAACTAAAACAATGGAGTTGTTAATAAAGAATTATTAGATCTTTTACTAAAAACTATATCAGAACCTTTAATACCTGTATAAGATCTAAAAATACTAAGCAATAGTTGATCAGTTGACTAAAATGTACACTTTATTTTATGCAATAAAAATATTAATATAAAACAAATAACAACTAATATTGCAAGAAGTAATATGTTTTTACAGTATTCTAAAAGATATTATCATAAATAAAATGTTCTAATTTGCTTCTAAATTTTGAAAGCTACTATTAAGCTTACTAAAAACCTAAATTAAACTATTAACAACTTATTACTCTTAGTCAAATAGCCAAATTAAAAGAGTTAATCAAATGTTGAAGCAGTACTTGAAATGTACAATTAATTATTACTAAAACAATTAGAATGATCTACTTTTATTACAGAATTTACTTGCAATAATTTAATCTACTCTTTTACCAAAATTACAACTTTTTTTATCAATTATGGCTTTTACCTTTACTTTGACTTACAAACACCATTTTATTCTTTAATTTTTTCTATAAAGAACAAGACTATCCAGTTGCAGAAAATAAAAAAAAACACTTATTAAAAAATTAAAGATTGCTCAAGAATGCTATAAGAGAAATACAAATTATTAATAATAAGAGAAATCTGATTTTAGCATTGGCAACAAAGTTTGGCTTTTGTAATAAAATATTTATACTATCTGATTTACTGAAAAACTACACCGTTTTGTACATAAACCTCATCTGTTAACTAATATAATTTTAAAAAAGTTCTTAAATAATGTTTAGACTACCAAAACTTGAACTCATATACTATTTTTAAGAAAATTAGGTTAGTGGCATATTGCTTAATCTTATCTTTCATGCTTAAGACCTATAACACATTTCACATTTTTTTGTTCAAGCTATATATAGCAAATACAATCTCTAGTAGAAACTTGAAACCTTTATTCTTAGTAATAGTTAAAAATAAAAATAAATATAAAGTTAATAAAATTCTTAATGCTAAGCTAGTCTGTAAGAAACTATATTATTTAATTGACTAGAAGAGTTATAACATAAGTAAGCATTCTTAAGAATCTGTAGAGAATGTGACTTATACTCTAGATGAAGGTAAGAGGTTCTACTAACATTACTCTAACAAACTGAATCTATTGTATAAAACATACAAACACATACTAAAAAAGAAAAAATATAAAAAAAATCTATTAGAGAGAAAATAATATAACAACTAAGCCTATATCCAACCCATAACTCAAAACTGTGACCAACCCAAAACCCAAACCTATGACCAACTCATGATCCAAAAAACTATAACCAACCTATAACTCAAATTTGTAACTTAAATTATTACCAACTTACAATTCAACTTTATAATCAAATCTATGTCCTAATCTAGAATCTGATTCTATGACTCTGATTCAAGCACCTATTGATGCTTGAATTATTAGTCATAATTATAAATAAATAAATTAATTTATTAATAATAATTGGGTAAAATTATTATAATCATTAAATAGTTAAGCATATAAATTATAAGATCATTAAGTAGAATTAATTTATAGTTAGTATTAGTAATTAATAAGTCAAATTAGTTTTAAAAATAGTATATAAGAAGAATACAAACATTTTGTACAAAAGCAGTCTATTTATTACAAATTCTCTGTCATGCAATAAATCTGCTTTCTGGTTTAGCTCTTCAATAATTGTTCTGTCTATTACAGTTTTAAAAGAGATTAGTTTAATATAAAACAAAAAAAATTAATACTACTTAAAAAAATAAATAGCATAGTAAAATAAATAAGTTTTTAGCTCTTTAAATAACAGGTTATACTGTAAGTTTACAACTAACTAGAGCTAAAAATTTTAAAAAAATTTATTTTATAATAACTATTTTCTGTTAATCAGTTGAAATAAGATATCTGTTTAATCTTGATTATATAGAGAAATGCAAACTAATATCAAGTAATACAAATTTAAAATAAGTTCTTGTAGCTGTGTAAATCTATAAAACTGAGAAAATTGATGCTTATTTGAGAAAACTTGAACAAAGAAATAATACAAACTTTTAATAATACAACTGTAAAAACTAACTCTAAAAAAATAGATATTAATGCAAAAAACTAAACAGACAAAAATTTTTAAATAAAAAGTACCACCAATTAGACCACCAAATTTAAACTAAAGAAAAAAGATATTAAACTAAATTTAATATACTAAGAACAGATTATAGTTCTTTTAAACTATCTGGATTAAGAATTTAAAAACAAAATAGAAGAATACTAAAGTATTAGAAATATGTTATAAAATTGCACTAAGATTTTAATAAGCTTTGCAAGAACCTAATCCTGTTAATAAGATTATAAAATAAGCAGATTAGTTAATAGATAAACCCTCTTGAACCTACTATCAGATGATATATTTTGAAATAGGTAACAGCCTAAGTACAAGTCCAAAAAGAGAAGATATATGCTGTTCAGATTAAATATATAAGTATATACAAAAGGTTTGTAACAAATTAAGGTTTGACAAGAGCAGATACTTAGAAGGTTTAAATTAATAATCTTTTAGTAGATTATAGTTACAGCATCTAGTGTAAAACCTTAGAATGAACTACTTAAATAGACAATCAAAACTTGCACATGTATATAGTTGTTCTCTCATCTCTGTAAAAAACAATTGTAATGCTAACCTCAAATTATCAATAAAATACCACCATAAAGTATGACCTTTAATAATAATAATAATAATAATAATAATAATAATAATAATAACAAGACTAGAAAACTTATTTTTTAATTAATTACCAGGACTTTATTAATACTTAGCAAGAAATTATCCTCCATCAAGGTTGATAGAATTCCTTCTATAGAATCGTTGGCATGCTTATCATTATCCTTTAGTTAATATAGTAAGTTCATTATAATAAACGTACTAATATACTCAATTTATTTTTAGGATTTACTTAATTTATTACTATTATCATTTCCTTAGTCAAATTGTTTATTTATTATTTAATACATTAAAGATACAGCCAATTAAGATAACAATCATCTAATTTAGAACTTTTTAAACCTTCTAACATTCAATCATCTATAATTATAATTCATTGTCTATTCTCCTAATATCTTTTTTGCGTTCGAAAAATTTACATATTTGTTAAAATTTTAAAATAAAATGAAGGGCTGTTTTTGATAAATAAAGTGATGTATATAATCAATTAAAAAAGCGAGCATTATAGTTGATGATAAGTTTTAACTCTAAGATAAATAAAAGAAATGGTTAAAACACTGTAAATTTAATATATAAGATTGATGAATACATACAGTTTTTTGAAATGTTGCAATAACGGAAGAGATTAACTCTAATTCTTTTGTCTTTTCGTTGTATAATTCCGTATAATGTTGCAATAAATTTGCCACACTCAAATTTCCCATTTCCAATTTATCATCAGGCATTTGAATATCACTATTTTCCATAATAATATCATTGCTAGAATCAAGTGCACACAGATCATCAAAAACGCGTTGGATAGATGGACGTTGATATGAATTGTATTGCCAGCATTCTGAAAGTGAATATAATTGATTTTAGGCATTGAATATAATTAATAAATGGATATAACAAATTATATAGCAAATGGTAATAAATACGAATACCTTCATATATTTTCACATATCCTTTCGGAGTTCCGGGTATCTCATTTTCACGTTTACCATGAATAATAGCGTTTAATAAATCATAACCATAAGGAGATTCTGATTCAAATGGAATAACACCGCTTGAAATCTGCCAAAGAAGAATTCCAATACTGTATATATCCGAACTTTTATTAAGTTTGTAGGTTTCAATACTTTGTAAATACTGAGGATCTATATATTGGATAAATTTATATATATTTGAAAAATAAATCTGATATCTGGAAGTTCCAAATTCGTTTAATTTAATATCGTCTTTGTGAACAAAAATGTTTTCAGAATGCTAAAGCAAATTAAGTATAAGAATCTATAGGAGATTATTTCAAAAACATGTATAAAGGAAAATATAGAGTACCAGATTCATGTGAATTATATTATTTTCATGCAAAAATTTTACAGCACTAGCAAGTTGCTTTGCGAGACGTAATTTTTCCTTCCAGTTAATAGAACTAGAATTTTGTTCCAAATATTGACAAAGAGTTCCGCTATCTGCATATTCAAGGACCAACATAATTTCCTTTGGTCCTATTAGAGTTTAAAAATGACAAATTTTATTATAATAAAAATATTCATTAAACATTATAAATTTATTCGCACACACTTTGTCTGGTTGCGCCTAAAATTTTTAAAATGTTGTCATGCAATTCTACTTCTTGATGCTGTTTCAGCTGGAAAATTGATAGAATATTACACTATAATTATTGTACGATTAAAAACTAAACAAATCGTTAAGATAAAAGTGCTTACATTAGTAATAAAGTCTTTAAATGTGTACTTTTGAGAAAAAACAATCTTATTCAAAATCATAGTTTTATTATATTTTTCAGAGAAAGCTTTATAACTATTACTAGGCAACTCCGTACTAATGGTTTCAACTTTATTTTCGTCAAAACAATCAAATGGGATTTCTTTAATATTTTTCTTTTCAAAAAATTCATTTATCTGCTTCTCCAGCTTGGAACCAGAATAATCTTCAGATTGTTGTCCCATCTTATGATATAATATTATGTGTTTTAAAATAAATTACAGGGATTTAAGTGAGAAAAGACTACAGTAATGTAGTAATGTATAAAAAGACCGAATATCGATATTTAAACGGAAGTGATCAGTCCTGTGAAACCTGTTCGTTTCCACGTGACATACGTATGTAATAAAAATAATTTTAATCGACCAGGGTCTATAACGAATAATCTCTTTCTATATAGATATATTTAAAATACAAACGTCTATTCAACTTGCCAATCAGATAATAACATGGTTATACAAATTTATATGGGTTAATAGTCGCTACAACATATCACCTGATCATTGTAAATTCAAAATTTTCAGATATGCTCTTCCACAAAAAATTGTTCACCCCTGTAAATTTGACTAAGATCAGGTGTAACGTAAAAATCGATTTACGGAATAACTCTAAATTATTATCTTCTGCGGCCTAATTAAAAATGTTTCTCGTGGAATTCTAATCATAACCCTATCTATAACGCAATTTTATTTTACTTCAAAGCGAAACAAGGTTGTTTTGGCTATCACGTTGTACCTGATCTTAAACTTGATAGGTCAAAATTACAGAGTGAACAAATGTTTGTGGGAATGCTACAAAGATGATTAAGATTAAAAGACCTATTGACCGTTCTTTCGAAAAGACATCAGTATTAATGTAATACAGTTATGAAATCTAGGTTTCAGAAAAGTAAGCAGTAAGATTTGATACATAATCAATATTCAAAATTTTTATTATAAAATTCTAATTATTTAAATAAAAAGTATATTTGAAAAAAATTAAGAAATGGTTTATCAAAAAAATATAAAATTCAATATCAATAATAATTACTAGGATTTCTTGATCAAATTTGATTTGAAAGCTATAAATAAATATTTAATTTTAAAAATTAGTTAAAATTTATTAAAACAATTACTTACCTAATAAAATTTTTTTATTAATTGTGTAATTCGATTCAAAATTTTTTCATCCGAATAATTCGAATAAATAAAAATAAACAAATTATTGTTTTTTTTGATAATCTCATGATTTCGTAAGTCATATGCTAATGCTCGGATCGAATTTTAAACAGCGCTTACGTATCTGATTTTTTTGTGGCGATACTAGGTGGGTTTTTATAACACAACCCCTATCTAAGGTAGGTCACTGGACATGGTAATATTTTGGAGTTTTCGAAATATTTCAGAATTTCACAATCTGGCCAGCATAATCAGCGAGCTACCATAATGCGGCCAGAAATAAGACTGTAACAAATTTAAAAAATATTCGATTTGTCTATCACTAACCTATATTGTCTAAAGAAAGTCAGTTATACAGTTATTGATGAAGTGATAAGAATGCGGATTATTTTAATAAAAGGAATCTTTGTACTTCTATTATATTAGCATTTGAAATTTTTTGTCGTGATATTTTGCATAAATGAAAATGACAAAAATATCGGGGTAAAAAAATTCATATGATCATATCACAATGAACGATTAAATATGATACGTAATTCATGTGGTTTACCAGTTACATGACAATGTAATTGCCTGGAGCGAAGTGTGCTTCTACTCCTTCGATGGCCAAAATTATGTTTTTGATACATTTATAGTAAAAATATCAAAAACGTAGTTTTGGTATTTTCCGGTTGTAACACCCTGAAAAATTTGATATACGACATACATAACAAGACTTTTAAGGGCTCGGTTCCTATCTGAGTTTTTTACTTACAGGCTTTTCCTATACAGCACTCATAAGGATCTTTAGCAGGGAACAAAATTTCGGGTGATGTAACCTGCTTTTTTTTTCGGCAAACGAAACGTACAAACCCCTGCAATATATTTAATATTTTAAAATTTCTGGCCGCTTTAACCTCCGGTATTTTACAATAGAATTTTGTGTCCTGATCTTTAGTCGTCAAATCTATTGTTTCAATGCTCTCATCCAATTCGTGCTGGTTTTCTTTTTGACTTATATTTTGTAATAATCATTATATGAGTGCGGGAAAACCTGATCTTGTTTTTTTGCTAAACTCAGTTATGATCCGATACATGGATCACGGCTGAGTTTATTAAAAAAACAAGATCGAGGTTTTCCCTTGGCCACACTCATATATTAAAACTTTTAAATAAATACTACTCCAAACTTCGATGATTATAATTCTTAAAGTTTTGACAAAGATTAATAAAAGCTTGGTTGTTTGGAATAATAACTTGCATTATATATTTGGTTTAAACAATCAACACCTGCTCGTGTAATGTATTTATTATCAAAGCTTCTTCATATTTAAAATTTTGTTTTTTATCAGTTCTGCAGGTTGGCAAGAACCATTTTCGCCGTAAATTTTATAAATTTCGTACTTATACTGGACATGCATTCAACCGAAAACTTAATTTTGGATGCGTTGACATTGTAGTATGGTTCAAAATACAAGTTGTATAAAAAAATATATAACTATCGTTATTACTAATAACTTATAAACCCACTGAAGTGTCTGAAGACATCCTGTTAAAGAAAAAAATTTTTTTTTATCACTGCCGAAATCAAAAATTCATCGAATCGACAAATAAACATTCGGACAATTTTTTACCAAAAGTTAAAACAACTGTGTAAACAGCTGTAAACCAAATAATTCAATCACTTTACTGTATTTGTACTAGTTGTTGCGCAAGTAGATGCTCTCATCTAATTGACCTAAAATAATCCATTTTACCTTTTTTTCTAATGAAATTAAATGAGGCTAAGGCTTGTTAAATATAGTTTAATTGGTAACTATCTATAGTTATTTCATTTATTACTTTAATCTTGATTCGTTTATTCAATTTATACTACAGATTTCATACTTTTTAAATAAGGTTTATTGGTAATAGTGCGTCAAAAAAATAGTAATATTCTATTTTATTATAATACAATAGCCAGATATAGACTTATTCTTATTTATTGAAAAAATTTGATAAGCTCTTACATCATTTCTGAGTAAATGTCATTGTTTTAAATCATTATGAATTATTCAAATAAGTGACATACTTTATGATTTTGTCTATAAATACTAACGCAATATCTGCGTTTTTTCGTGTTTTTATTTGTCCTTTAAATAAATAAGCATCATATAATTAAAATAACTTCCGTCATTGTTATTATGCTTGAGGAGCAACCTATTGATAAACCTTCAATAATAAATTCAGTTGAAAATGATGCCATTATTTGTGTTGATTCCCCATCTCCTAATACTTCTACCAATCAAGTCGTAATAGAAGATGAAGAAACCTTGATGGAGGGTTTTGTTCCAATTTCTCAAAGTCCATCGACTACGCCTTTAAATTCTCCTTCACAAAATTTCAATTCCATAACTCTTCTAAAAAAATTGGACAAACGACCTATCGAGTCATCTGATTCAATTTTAGATATCCCTTCCAAAAAATCAAAGGATTACACTGAATCTGTTGCGAGAGGTTATTTCTGTCTTGCCAAATTCAGAGAATGGAAAAATAATGATGGTTCATATTTTCCGATATCAGTTATTAATCTATGTAATTACTTACGTGTCAAAATGTTAACTAATAATATAAAAAGTTTGGATTGGAATATTAACGCTCTTGGTAAATACCAAAAAAATGTATTAAATATTCAAAATTGGAACGATGTAAGATTTCATCAAGATGTTAAGGATTTATTGAATCAAATCCGTAAAGAGAAAATGAGTAATGTTAAAAAAGTCAATGAAATAAATGCAAATGGTGAGGATCTGATTAAAAAAATGAAAGGGAGAGATTCGTCAGTATTATCTTCCAGTAGTGGATCATCATCTCCTTCCCCAGCGCCTCTTCTGAGTGATAATCGAAAAACGAAACGTTTAACACGATCAAAAAGTACTTATGATCGTATGAAACCGTCTTCAAACGATCAAGAAATTATTCAGAATTTTGATTCTGCAAGTGTTGCTCCATTTCCATTTCCGCAGATGCAAGTTTCTGACGTTGATTTACCATATGTAATTAAATATATACCCGAATGTGACATCATGTTTCCAGCCCAAAAAGCTTTAAGTAAATTTTTTTTTATTTCTATAAAACTTGATTTATATCTTTATTTTAATTTATCAATTTCACAATTTTTTTTAGGCGAAGGAACTGGGGTTTCTCACACCATGATATCTGTCACCGGTGAATCTTCTCAAACACCAATATCAGAAGAATCAATGATGTCTTTATTATCTACCCAAGATGATGTGGATGTTTCTTCGACTTCAATAGGTACATTTCAATAAAACCCATTATATTAATAGTTGGATTAAAACTATATTTTTACCGTTACACTGTTTGGCTTTGTTTATAGTGCTTTGTTAAATCTGTGAATGATTCTTCAAACTTACCTATCTTTTTAAATTCTAGATTACCGTCCACAACTTTTTATGTTACCTTCCAAAAGTAAGGCTTCTTAATTTCATATTATTCTTTGGTCTTAGTTTCATATTATTATTATTTGGTTTTGGTTTTATTTTATTATTTTTAATTACCCGTATAATTTAACTTATCAAGATTTCTGGAAAGGGGTCGGTGTGTCAAACGAGATAATCCAAGAAGATGAGGTAATTTTTTAATATCAATAACACATCTGAGAAGTCAAAATAATGCAATTTTCTTGTTGAAATAGGCTGAACCCGAAAGTTTTAAATCTTGTTATGAGAGGTCTCTATCCATTCTCAAGTCGTTATATGCAAATCATTGTAGCTTTCATCCCGATGGTTGTGTTTTGCTACCGGATAACCTCCATTTCGTTCTAAGTGACACACATTATCGCCGTTGGGCTTTATTATGCGTAACTATTCTTTTGTATCATATACGTATATGAATTCTGTAAGTTGGTTGTGATAACTTATTATTGCATTAATAGGCGTCAGGTGATGATGTTGTCGAAACGGATTTGCCGGTCGCTGAAGAATTGGATGAATTTTCCAAGAAACATGCTGTCAAAGTTTAACTTTGAAACTATAAAACGCCTGGGAATGATATATTAATTACACTCGTCATATTTTGACTATTAGAAACGGATTAATTGTTTCATTGCCTCACCTTTATAAGTCAATAATCTATTTCATTGAGGATTACTGTAATCTATCAACTTAAGATATAAGTTTAATAATATTATGTATTCTTCTTATGACTTTATAATTTATCATTTCATTATGATGGGTTATTTATATAAATCTCGCAGTTAAACGTTTTAAATAGGACTAATGTTGAGATACATCATATAATTAAGAAAGCTTTCTTTGAATATATATAGATTTTTATTGTAATTTAGTAATTCAAATAATAAAATAAAATCATTGTCGTTAATTCAGACTACTATAATAACAAATCATGAATACACTAAATACTCATTAAAAAACAACTTTTTTTTAACTTGTTTCAAAAATATAAAATCAATAATATATCAACAAAAAGTTATCTGGTCGGTTCCTACAGTTATTTCTTAGCATATATTTATATAAAGCTTTAGATATCACCCTACGCTTAGTCATTTGACGGAAAAGATTATTAATAACTATACGCGAATTAAACAGTATTATATATAGATTAATAAGGCTATGCAAACTTAATAAATTGGTTTTCAACCCTGACAGATTAAATTTCACAAAAACTTTACGAAATTTTTGATATGATTTACTATCCAGGTGGGCTTTTCTTGAAAATCTATAAAAAAAGTTTTTTATATATAAATTTTTTGAAAATAACCGAGTTGTTAATTCATTTATAAAATCAAAACATCAATTTTTCATGCTTAAATTTACTATTTTACAACTTTTTATTTAAAGTTTAATATTTGTTACTTGCACCAGTTAATAATTCATATCAATTAAAAATTAAAAGTTTGCAAAAAAGTAATAAAACACATGAACTTTAAGTATACAAATAATTTACACATTTCAATAAATAAATTGTTATATTTACTAAATAGTCCAAATTTATAAATTTCAACAAAATTATGAATCTAAGACAGCATTTAACATATCTTCTTCATCTCTTTTATCTTCTTCATTCTTTGCGTTGGCTATTTCACCTATCTTTTTTTCAATTACAAGTGACTTATTCTCTCTTATATATTGTTCACAATAATTGTTAAGTTGTGTTGTTCGAAGTAATTTTGCCCATTCATTGATTTCAACTGCATTATCAATATTAACAAAAGAACCTTGTATTATTTTTACTTCAACCTGACCTTTGAGTGGATCAATTTGATAGTGATCTGAAGCTTTAAGCAAATCAACTAGGAACACGTCAGAACATTTAGAATCCTTAAAAACTGCTGAAATTGCTTCTTCAAGTTTTTGACCATATAACCAACGAATTAGAACACGGAATGCTGAAGGATCAATATCTTGGATATCAACGGTTACTCTTTGATCTTCTGCAGCTTCCATCATACTTCCACAGAATAATCTTTCAAAATGTTCAGAAGCAGCTATAAATTTATAGACTTAATTAATAACAATTATAATAAATATTATATATATATATAATAGTTAGTTACCTGAAAGAACATATCGATTAGCTTTGATTTTCTCAATCCCATTTTCATGATGAATTTGAAACTCAACATCATGATGCATTGTTGTATCGTGTTTTTCAAAGCTTTCTAAAAGTCTACCAAGTAATTTATTTGCTTGCGAATAATCTTGAGTTTTTACATTGAATTTAATATTTTTAACTTCCCTAGCTCCGGCTACTTTTAATAATAATTTAAATCCTTCCAAATTTTCATGAACTTTATGTAATCCAGTTCTAACGTCTTCTTGTGCACCAAATACAAGATTTTGTCCTGCTACCCAATCTTCAGGGATAAATGGGTCATAACCATTCAAAAATATTTTTGCATCCGTTTGTAAACGTGATATTATTTTGGAATTAAAAATTTGTGAATTAGTCCAATTTACGTTATTACGATCTTGAGTATTAGTACAATAAATTTGAGTCTTAACCCAATGTTCTAATGTCTTGTAAGTTTTCTTTAAAATGTCCAAAATTAATTGAACTCCTTCTGGTGATTTCCATGAATCTTTTTCCGCCTGAGATATGTCTAGCGCGACATAATGTAAATTGTCAAGAATCATATTTATTGTAGGATGACATAAACTGGGAAATCTGTTTTTAAATGCATTTGGTGGATCTATCGATTTTGAAAATAATGGGCACTGTGTCCAACAAAGTAATTTATATTCTTGGTAACACATAGAATTTATTGATTCAAATTCTGTTATTCCAGCTGTAGTTTCCTTCAATGGACTTTCCAGATCTGTGTCTACTGGTACAAATTTGATCGATATCAATTCTAACCATTGCTCATCTGTGAAATATAAGGTTGTCAAATGTTCATAAAAATATTCCATCAAAAATCTTGCATCTGATTTTACCAAGTTAATTTGATCATTTAATTGTTGTGATTGGAACCTTTTTATTCTTGAATCAATTTCATGTACACATTCCAGGAATGTTACAGAATTTACTTGATATCTTAGCCCCATTCTTTTTAGAACATTTAAACATTTACTATTTACTTGTAAAGAAGGATGTAAAAGGTTATCAGTATTCCAAAAAATTCTACGAAAAAGTGATTCATTCATATCATATAAAGTATTCGCTCTGACAAGTTCTGTGAGGTGATAATTTGGAATTATTTTAAGTGGTGATAAATAATTTTCAATTTCTCCTTTTTCTAAAGACAGAACTGTTTTTAAGAAGTCAACATATTGTTGATCCAATTTAACGGTTTGTGGATTCAGATGCTCTTTAACATATTCTAACGGTGATATATATTTAGCACCTAACTTAAATAGCGCGTTAAAGTCTGAATCAGATTCTACGAGAAAAATATTTGTTTCTTCTTTAATAGAAAAAAAAGTAATATCTTGTGGAGGTAAGATTCCTTCTTGAGCAGATATACAAGTACTACGTGACTGAGTAGGCCATATAGGTAAGGTTTTTAAAAATTTAATTGATTTACTATCATCTACATATTTAAATGAATACACAGTAATTGATGATTAAATAAATATAAAAAATTCAATAAAGTAACATAAACTAAGGGAGATAAATTTTAATGCTTACTTTGAATATTGATGATTTCAGTTTTAATAAATGTTCTAAACCTTTCAAATTCATCCTGATCAAGTTTGTCAGAAAATAGTTGTTTCAATGGTACTGGTGGTATTCCAATAGCCCTTTCAAGAGCTTTAATCATATTTTGAGTAGTTGGTTGCTGGATGCATCCTTTAATATATGGATTACAAAGATCGGGCAATTTCATAGATGTAAACCTAACACCAAACTTTGCAAGTATTGGCACCATTTGATGAAATGAATTATATATCAATAAAGGACTTGATAAGTTTGGTAAAACGAGTTTGTAATGAGGTCTGCATGTTGATAAAATTGGATATCTTGCCAATCTTTTAAATTCAAATGGTGACATTGTATTTTGATCTGTGAAATTTGACAATAGTCTCAATATTTCATAAATCCAATTGATATTTGGATACTGAACTCCATTAGGATCCCATTCGATTTCTTTATCACGTGGCAGAACATATTTTAGTAAGTCTATGATGGCATTTATATCTGACGCTAAATCTTTAATTTTAAGCACGGCACGAAAATTCACGTCTCTAAAAATCCATTGCATATCTAAAGGTGGATCAGCAACAAACTGTGATTGTGCTTTAGGAAATAACTTCCGTATTTCCTGTCCCGCAACGTAATATGTCTGTGAACCAAAAGTTCCTAAAGATTTATCACAAAGTGGTAGTAATCGTAAGCCAAAAAGTTGGCTATAATCTTTGGTTTGAATAATAAAGTTTAACAATCGAAACGCTATTTCATGCGACTTTTCTCTTGCACTGTCCAGAATACTTGGATTGTACCGAAGCCAATTACAAACTAATTTTGGAGTAATCGAATTTATAGATGAGTATTGCATTTTTTTAAACATCTGATTAAGGTGACTCATTTGATCCTGAGATAATTTGACGATCTCCATTCCGTGAGTAATAAAAATATCTGCAATAGTTGAATCATTTGAGTTCACAAAATATGCCTTATCTAATGAAGTCAGTGCACCTCCATTCGCTTCAGTCCAAAAAACTTTATATCTTTTAATACATAATCCTCGTAGTACATTTAAACCATATTCTCGGTATATGTCTGTAGTTGAAAACGTTATTGGCCATAATCGCGAAAGCATTTCATTATTAAATGGTGCCATCAAATGATTAGCTACATGGTCCAAAAGTTTGGAATGTAGTGGAGGTAATACATCTAACAAAATATATCTATTCCACTCTCCTTCCTTTGTTTCAGCCGTTAAGAGACCAGTATCAGCTTGTCGAACACTCTTTCTGTCACTGGACAGACAATCAGCGTCAGCTTGTAAAACACTCTTTCTGTCACTGGACAGACAAAATGTTCCATTGATGTGAATGCCAAGAGATGTATGCATAGGAAGTGAGAGATATGAATAAACCTTTCCCTTAAGCGATGGAATATTGGAAAACTAATGTGGAATATTGAATGTTAATGAAGTTATTACACGAATAAGTCTGATGCAATCTAGTAATGTTACCTTTTCAGCTTTAAGTTCTTCCAATGATTTGCCGTCTCCCATAGACAATAACGCGGCAACACTACCTCTTGCCTCAAAAATAACAACAGTAATTAGTTATCTAATTATTTTAGAATTTTCATTATTTAAATAATGACTTACTGAAAGGTTAATCTCTCTAGAAATCTCCCTAAATCTGGATTTGTCTACCAAATCACTACCACCAGAACAGATTAGCCAAATCTCTGAACATTTACCGTTTTTATAAAACCTACTTTGCCTACAATACATTTCCATTTCTAGTTGATATAGTCTTGCTTCCCATGAATGAGAAATACGAAGTTTACGAATTTCATCATTCATATTTTGAATTTTTGTTTCCCAAATTAACTCTATATTACCTATTATATTCATTTGAAATAAACTACATTGCTCAATATTCCTTAAAAATATCATCTCACGATTTGCTTGTATATTTTCAAAAATTTGGGTTTTGAGATCCTTTGTCTTTATTATTTGATTTGATAATTCACTTGGCGTTATTCGTAGTGGTAATCTAAATAAAGTACCCTTAAATTTCTTTTCAAATTCACAATCAAAAATTGCAAGGTATGGAGCTGCTTGGTCCTCAAATCGTTTCCTGAAATTTTTTTCAATGAAATTGATTTTTGTTCCACGAGGACTACGAGGTGGATTTCCGGTTTTCGGCAAAAATTTTTCTAACGGATCAAAAAAAACTATATGTTCACCACTAACCTATAATTATGAATAAATTAAAATTAGTTTTTATTAAAATATTTAACAATTACAAGATTTAATATGGTAAAAGTTCTTACAAAGCTTGGGAAATCAGTCAAATGATATGCACAATTGAAACCAATTCCAAATCTTCCTATTTTTGTTCTATCATTCCTCTTTCCTCCCATGCCAAGTTTTTTTAAGGATTCAAAATCATGTTGAGTAAATTCTGAATCATTATATATCCATAAAGCTGGACCTTGCCATTGATTCATTTCATCAGATAACAATGAATTTTGTTTGTCGGAACTTTTGTTGAGCAAATTAAAAGGCCATCTATTAGCTTTTCTATTGTCTCTATCATCAATAACGAAGAAAATTTTCCTTGCTCCTGCATCATCAGCATTCTATGAATATAACAAGATTAAACCATAAACATAGACATTATGATAATAAAAAGCAAGTATTTATTTCTTCATACCTGTAGAAATTCAGGAAATATTGATCCAAGCGAATAATCCTAAAATTAATAGTGAGTAACATAGTTAGTGAACCATTACCATAATAATTAATACGATTAAATTGAATAATTTACAAGCATTTACCCCAATGATATTACGTATCCTAACAGCTAATTGTTCATTTTGTTCATAAATTTCTCCATAATCATTATTTGCCCCAGCTAAATAAAAAGCAATCACAAACTAAGTTAGGTATTCACAATCAATAATATTCAACATAATTATTGTAAAAAAAAATGCTATACTCACAGTCAATAAATTTCCCGGCAAGCATTTTCATCCCAAGAGTTTTTGCAACAGAATAAGATATTAATGAATGAACTATTTTTAATTCATTTTTCTCATTGTCATCTAACCTTGCTTTCATATCATCATAATAAATATCATATAAATTCACTAATTGACAATCTGTACTTGGTACAAGTAAATCTTGTAAACTTTCACAAGAGTCGCTTTGTTCATTAGTTTTTTGTTCATTAATTCTATTTACAATTAGTTCAATAACCGATACCACCTTGTGTAATTCTTCGTTCGATAGTGTCTTTGTAGTGTTAGAGTTAGTATCAATAGAATGAAATTCTTTTATGATGTTCATTAAGTCAGGAATATCTATTTTTTGTCTAACACCCATTTCTTTAAATAATTCTTTGTATGGTTTAAATGAATAAGGAAGTTCGACAATTATTGATGTTTTACTGTCCAAGTTTTTATCAAGTTCCATCACGACCCTATGTGAAGAATAAAATTTGCCATCGCAAAAGATCCATTTTTTGTCTTTAAGTCTTTCTTTAAATTTCGACAAATAATTATTCATCTCACCATTCATATATTTATATATTTCTTCACATATTTTGAAAGTATTCTCATTTATCGTTTCCATGGATGAACAGGCATCAAGTTGCCTAATAACAGCATTAACAGGTGGACGAGAATCCCATTTCATATCTTTAATAAAAGATTTGTTCTCAAAAGTATATTCTATAATTGGCATTACTAGTCCAACCAAATTTTTATGCACTATACTTCTGCAATCGTTTACCCTTGAAAATTTTTTCTTGCCAGTGGAATCAACTGTTGGAACCCATTCTCTGGTTTGCAACAATAACAACATAAGTTCATTGGTATTGGGAGTTCGTGATCGTTGATTATTTCCAAAAAGTTTATTATAATGCCTATCAATATATTTAACTAGTTTTAGAGATTTTTGATGTACAATATTAATTTCTTTCTCCTTTCGATTTGCAAACATATTGATTCGTTGAATAATATCAGGTGAAGAAAGATATGGTTTCATCCCCAACGTTTTCAATGAGATCAAGAAGTTGTCTCGAAACTTTTCAGAGAAATTTTTGGCAGGAAATAGATACTCATCATCAAAAAATAATTCTGAAACGGAATAATTATCAGGATCAAATAAATCGATAGGTTTCTTTAATTTAATATCAGTTTTTTGTATCTCTTTTTTCTGTGCATTAAGAATCGTGGTTGCTGGTATAAATTCTATATTTTCTAAAACAAATTTTAGCCTTGGATTTTCTGAAAGGAGAAGTTGTAACCGTTCAAAAAGTCTTATGATAACAATTTCAATAGTTTCCAGCTTTTGATTACCCAAATATGGAATCACAAACTTAGTCCAGTACTCTTGTTGTGACAATCGTTTAACTTTTATGATATTTTCCAAAAGAAATCTTTTGTTGTGTGTTGTTGCATCAATAAATCCTTCTGCATCTGGAGCAATTATATGACCATAATTTTTCTCGTCTTCGGATGGAAGCAAATACCAATTTTTTTTACTAGGTTCAAGTGCAATAAGTTCTTCTTTACCAATTTCGGAAAAAATTGGAAGATATTTGACAACATCGTTAATAGGTTTGTCAGGAGATAAACAGCGCAAATAATTAGCTATTATTTCTGCTTCTTGAAATTGTAATTTTATTTGGACATTTTTTGGAAATGTAGTAATTACACTTAAGCAAGTCAATACCTCCGTTAAATTATCAAGACCAACTACGTACTTTGACATCCTAATAAGAATTAATAAAGTTAATAAAAACTTAATATTAAAAAATATGTTTTTAGATTAAATATAAAAAAAATAATTATTATAAACAGTACTTTGATCGGTCAAAAGTAACAAGTTTCTCAAATTGTTTATCAACAAAAACGATACCAAACCTCTCAATTAGAGGTTGCACATCATTATCAAGTTTATTATTAACACTGTTCCAAAAACATTTCTGATTAGTTTTTAATTTTCTAAGAGTATCACTATTAGTAGGTAATAAATGAATATCCTCAAATTCTGTTAGATCATAGTCTCTCTCTTTAATATTCGCCCAGACCTTATAAATCCAATTACAAGAATCATCTAATGGAATCTCATTGCTTCCAACTGAATATCCATTCAACTCTTTTGTGATCATGTTTGATACTATGGATGGAACAAGGATTTTGATGTTGAGATCCCATCCCCCTTGAGCACCTTCATATAATAGATTCCATAACTTTAAAGGAATATTTTTATCAACAAGTTTGTTTAAACTATTTACAAAGACTTTTCTCTCATCATTATCATCGATTGAATTATTATTGTCAGGACCAATATAAGCAATAAAATCTTCTGATTTTGATTTAATTCCAAAATAAACTTTTTTCACGTATGAAATAGTTCCAAAGGTTTCATCAGATAGTGGAATCATTGTAAGGCCATCTAATTCAGCATAATTTTTATCACTAAGTACATATTCAAACAATGATATAATATCTTCTCTTTCTTTGTTTTCCCATTTTGATTTATTTTGAAGAAGATACATTCTGACGGCATGTGGAGAGCAAATATTTAAAGAATCTTTATGACGAGATTTTTTCAACTCGTCATATACCTTAGGATCAATATTTATTATAGGAAATCCTATGTTTTCAATAATTTTTGAAATATCAGAATGAACGGATTCATCCGGTAGGAAACCATTTTCGATTGAGAATAAATGAAACTTAGTTTCACGGAAGGTGAAAACCTTTTGACACGAAGGCAATATACCAGACATGTTTCCAAGTGAGCAAGATTTTGAAGGACCACGGAAAACTTTATCAGAAATAGAAAAATTTTCAATAGTGTTTAGCAAGAGGTTTTTGGCTTGATTGTTAACGAAGCCTCCAGAACCAGATTCTTTAATAATTGGCCAAAAACTATAGAATTCTTCTGCATTGATGTCGGGTGCTTCGTTAGGAAGGTGGACTAAAAACTTTGCCCATGCTTGTGGGAGAATGACATTGAAAAGGTATTGATTCCATGAAACTTTGAGCTTGGCCAATGTACCTTCAGCCTTAATAAAAATAATACATCATTAAAATTAAAATTTGAAACATTAAGACATTAATAATGATTTTATAATTTCATTATTTAAATGATATACCAAATCTTCACCATCTGTAGCGGACCATAATGAACGTCTATTTGTGCTGACCTTTTGAAATATTAACACGAAAAAAAATCAATAAAACATCCCAAAGTAATATGAGATTTATTAAATATAGACTTACAGCAAAATGACCATGTACAGAGATACGAAAGGGCATTAGTATTGGAAGAGGAAGAAAGCAAAATAATCTCCCAATAGCTTCAGGGTTATTAAGCTGAACGGCAATTCCGACATTTGGAATAAGTTTATAATCAATTATTTTTCTTTTAAAAGTTTCATGGAAATAAGCAGCAGCAGCATTTAAATCACCAAGACAACAAAATATAATCCAATGACTTTCTCGTGGTGTTTCATCACCTTTTTGTTGACGAAAAGTCACAGTAAACACAGAATCCAATGTAGTATCAGCAGAAAGTTTTTTTTCGCCAAGTTCTTTCATCAAAGAAACAATTTTTTCAGCAATCAAACAGCGTTTCTTGCGTATTTGTTTTGCATTTACAATCTCTATTGAATAGAGTAACTTTGGAACAGACTCATTTTCTTTTAGTTCAAAAAACTTGATGCTTTCAACAGATTTCAAGAAAAGAAGACAATTAATGCTTTCATTTTCATAAAACTTGTCAAACATTTTTAATATTTTAGTTGGATTATATTCATTCTTAGAAATTTCAGAATCTTTAGCATCTTGAATTGTACGAAGAGGATAACGAAAAAGAGTACCATTAAATTTTTTATTACACGGGATGGCAAACGGATTAATGAATGGAGTAAGTTGGTCAGGGCAATCAACAGCAATATTATCATCAATAAAATCATATCTAACACCACCATCGAAGTACCAACAATGTGGCTAAAATAAATTTTAGAAATTATCATTATAACGATAAGTAATTATAAGATTAGAGTTCCAGTCGGGATAAATCCATCATCCATTAATCCATATCAGATATCTGAATTTATACGGATAAATTCAGATCGGATACTTGGATAACGGATTACAGATATATAAACGGTTAACGCTAATGGATTGGAACTCTAATAAGATTGTTTAGAATAACAAAAAAAAAAATGAACAAAAGTTTGATATATACGTCAAGAATAACATATTGATCACCAGTAATGAAAGAAGGAGAATCGGTTATATGGTAAATAGAATTAAAGCCCACACCCATCGCTGTTGATTAAAATAAGTTATGTATTAAAAAATTATGATTGCCATACTGCCACCGCACTAAAATTACTTACCTCCTATTTTATCAAATTGATCACGCTTTTCACTATTAGCCAATCTCAATAATGAATCAAAATCGCGTTCCTCAAAAATGGCATCATTTCTTGACAAAAGAGCAGGGCCTTGATATCTATCTAATTTCAGGTCGCCTTTATTATATCCATTCAATATGGGCTCGATTAATTTATTAGTTGGATAAGTATTGTGGTCCTGTTAACGAATTAATATAATTAAAATAAATAATGAAAATGAATAATAAATAATGAAAATAAATAATGAAATAAATAATGAAATAAATAATGAAAATTGAAGATACCAATAAAAATACTTGTGATCGGCTTTTAGAGTCATCAGAGTTTTGTAGAATTTCTCGGAGGATTTGAGATCCATCCGGATATTCATCAAGAATTTTATTCAGACGATGGGTATACGGTTCACCAGGTTTAAAAGTTTTACCTTTCATTAATGTCTTTATTTTTTAAAATATAAACTTGAGAAAAACTACGTTAAGATGTATTTACAATAAAATATTTAAACTTTTCTGAACGAGCAGAAAGACCGCTTTTGATTCTCCGTGTATCCATTTCACTTTTTATGGTCATTGTTTCCTAATTGGTTAGTGTATCGTACGTACACAATCTCACATTTCGGACATCCCTAATTGGTTTAAGTAATCACGATAAGTGCGATTGAATTTATTAATTTGAGGGAAAACCACTGTTCGGAATTTCAAACATTAGTATTCAACAAGCATTCAACATTATCGCAAAATACGGTAATTTATTAGGGATTATATCTGGTACAAAATATATGCGAAATTCCGAACTGTTAGCAGCACTCATTTATTAAACTGGGATGTCATTCACACAACCGAGTTAAAAGATTGCGGTTAATAACATTATAATATTGAAGGTATTTTATATATGACATCTAATAAAACCTAATACGGATATAATCTTCCGGAAATTGAAATATCCGAACTAGGGACAAAACTTTGGCCGATTTAGGACATGTTTGATTGAGCCAATAAAAATGCAGGACTATATCATTTCCCCGACAAATTTTTCTTTCGACCATTATTTCACCGACATCGATTTTTATTAATCGACTTTAAGGGTAGGGGTAACGTAGATCATTTGTCATATGATTTTTCTAACAAATAAAATTTTATATATTAAAAAAAAATATATTACTAATAAAACTTTTCAGTATTATATTCAATTGTTACCAAAATTTAATAGTATATAAATCT